GAGCCGCGTTGATCTGGTGATGCACGTCATCCTCGTGCAACTTCCCGTTGCCCTTGTCCGGGCGGGGCTGGTCCGCTGTCCGGGACACAGACCCCAAACTCTCCCTTGGCGAGCCGGGACGTGGATCACCAATCCGTCCCGCCATCCTCTCCGAAACCGGACGACGGCGCGTGTCACCCAGCCTATTGAAGGCAGAGGCTTTTCCATGCGCTGGGGTCTGCCCGGGCCGAAGAGGGGAAGCAGGGTGGGAGTGGGACGATGCCGTGTCCTGGGCCACAACCCCCTCATTGTTGCCTATCTGGACGGCCAACGGTTGGGGATGAGGAGGTGGAGTGACGTTTCCCCCGGTCCTTGGCAAGAGTGCGCTGAGGACGGTGGGATTCTGAGCCAAGCTGGCGATGATAGCCGATAGTGCGGCCTGGACCTGAGGATCTACGGACGGAGAGGCCGCGGCCATAGGCTGGGCCGGGGCGTGGTCCGCTTTCTCAGCTCGTTTCTTTTCCAGGCCGAGGCGGGCGTCGGGGACTCCGCCGTTGAGTTGGTTGCGGAGGTCCGTCGTGAGGTTGAAAGCCTCCTGGAAGAGGTCCCCCCCCCCCCCCCCCCGCCGACCTGGTCGGCCGTGGCGTCCTCATCGTGCTCCCTGGGCTCTTGGTCCTCAGAAATGACTTTGCTGACGAGGTTGCGGTTTGACTTAGTTCTTCCCATGGTCAGTGGTTAGCTGTGCTTGGTAGCGACGAAGGGTGCTAACTTGATTGTTCTAGCTCTCAACGAGAGCACCAAATGATAGAGTATATCTAGAGAGAAGTGAGAGCTAGAGAGAGAAGTGCAATAATATGCTTCAATAGAATGAATTTGTAACCCCTATAACTACTCCCAAGGGGAGTATTTATAGAGAAAATTAGGGTTGGGCTCCCGAGCCTTTGGCTTGGGAGGCCCATTTACAACTGGACCGCTATTGGGCCGAATACAAAGCCTCTAATGGGCTATACAATTGAGTAAGTATTGATCCGATTCTGGGAGGTCTTCGTGACCGACGAGGGCGCGGCCGACGAGGGCACGGCCGACGAGGGCACCCGGGTTCCTTGGACTCAGGACCACAATCCGAGTTGGCTTCTTCTCGGCCGACGGGGGCGTTTTGGCCGACGAGGGCGCCACTCTGTTGTCTTGTGCTTTCCGTTCTTCCGAGTATGTGGGTCCTGGGGCTCATACCCATATACTCCATCAGTTTTAAAATTTTATGCTCACTTGCTGAGTTTTAATGTTCAATAGAGGAAAATTGATGATCAATGAAAATGTCTTGATGCATTTTCCAAAAGTTTAATATTAAATTAGATTCGTATATTGGAATCCATATGAGTCTATTGTAGATATAATTTTAAAAAATTATATAAAAGAAAAAAAAAGTGAATCAAAAGTTATGAAGCAGAATTCACGATGCTCAATAATACTCAACATAATATGTTTGATGCTCATTAAAAATTCATCAATGCTCATTTAACAGAAACCGTGATTTTATCTCAATAGAGGAGGTTTGATGCTCAATGAAAATTATTATGTTAAACTAACAAACCTTACGATTTTCATATCAATGAACATTTTGTAATTTATGTATACTCACTTGGTATTTATGTTATGCTCATTTTAAAATATCATTTCAATGCATATTTCAAAAGTATCATATTACATTAAATTTGCATATTGAATTTCATAGGAGTGTATTATAGGTATAAATTAATAACTTTTTATAAAAAAACAAAAATGAATTAGAAGATATGAAGCAGAGATTGTGATGTTCATTGTTAGCCTCTTAATACTCAATAGAATAGGTTAGATGATCACTAAAAGTACATTAATGTTCATTTAGCAGAAGCCATGGATTTTCTCTTAATTTATGAAAATTCCACCGAAAAAAATGGGTTGTATTAGTTAATGGTTGTCTTCGTCAATTGGCAGGGGCGGATGCAGTAAGGGAATAGGGGGGGCAGCTGCCCCCAATAGATTTCCACTAAACCCATATATCTTATTACAACTTATTAAAAGACTAATTTTTTGCCCCCAATTAAAAAATATGACTGCCCCCAATAGTCTTCCTTCTCCAACGGAAATGGCTAAATCTCAAAATGAGATTTTGGACTCACCCGCTACCCCATTCTTCCGTATGTTGATTAATGCTTTACATTAATTCTTACTTCTATATTAATATTAATCATGTTGTTTTAAATTTATTAATTTATTATAGTCAGACTCAATGTAGTATTAACCCTTATATATCCATTATTCAGTATGTAATATATTCTTGGAAGGCTAGTGATTACTAAAAATGATAATTTAGTAAATGTACATCAGTACATACTAGCAATTGTAAGGGTTAATAATATTTATGTTAGATTAAATTCAAATGGATGACTAGCAAATGTCAGTTAGATACATTTTTTTAAAGAAGTCATTTAAATACATAGAAATTCAAAATGTAAATAGTACTTCATCCGTCTCTAAATATTTTGTCAACTTTGTCACTTTCTCTTTTAAGTAAAGAATCTGAGTTTCCCGTTAATCATCTCTCATTTGCGCAAATCTCAACCACACAATTTTTTCTTTATTAATTTTTGTGCCAGTCAAATTTGACCAAATTTTAAGGGACGGATAGAGTATGTTATTATTCTAGATAGTTAAATAAAGCAATAATGATATATGTACGAAATATATGACTAAAATAAAGATGATGAGAAAATGTGACCTTGTATGATATAACTGAAATAGTACTCCGTAATTTTTAGTTAAGTAGGATTATTTTTGTATTCAATTTTACACGTGATTATGAAGCAATGTACACACACAGTAACTCTAGACGTTTTTTTATCCATTAATTACATTTCAGTAATATTCTAAGAAAAATGTTAAGTAAAACCGTAACGAATCACTTCAAATAAAAAAATGAAAACTCAGTTTGTTATACGTTTACTATTGTAATAATAATATGATGATAATTTACTATTTTATATTCTTCATAAGTATTTTTAATACCCGATCTGCCCCCAATAAATTCATTTCCTGGATCCGCCACTGTCAATTGGGCTGGATGTACCTACACTCGGGTGTAGGATATAGGGGTTGATAGGTACACGCCACACAAATTGGGTACAATTTGGAGTGTATATTCAATTTGTCCGGTGCTAAAAATGTTGTGTACAACTTGGCGTGTATAAATAGCATTTCTCATAGTTTAGTTTCTTATGTCACTTTGTCTCTAATTACATTACATCACATCAAATTTGACAGAGAGATAGACACAAAAAAGTTAATCAATAAAAATTATCTCTCTTTCTTCCACAAAGTAATAGATTTTAGTTAGTTTGTATTCACAATTTCAACTACAATATCTAAATTTAGATAGTGTGTTTCACATTGTGAACAAAAAACTGAATATTTATACATTGTCGAAAGAATGTGAAAGACTTTCTATTAGTTAATGTTTTTGTTTCTGTATCTCTCATGTTACGTGTGCAATGTTCACACGTTTGTATTAGAGATGCTCTTAAAGCATCTTCAATGCTATGTGGCATTTAAAATGTGTACGGCGCATATGTGACATGAGAGATACAAACAAACGAATAAATTTGTCACATTTCTTTCTCATTGTTTTCACAATCTTATTTATTTTTGGTAGGTTTTTCTCAACAATGTCAACAATAATGTCCACATCTAGATATTGATTGTAATTGATATTGTACAGAAATCTTACCAAAAACGTATAAGACCGTTCAATTAAGGAGAGAAATATTATATTTATTAATTTTATATAGTTATCTATCTCACATCACGAATGCAATGTTAATATTTTTGAATTGGAGATGTTCTTAGACAGTTCAGACTTAAATAGGTATAGATCAAGTGATCTTTCAGCGGTTATGGAATACACATGGGTTAAACATCTACCAAATCAGAGTATCAAAACAAATCAGTTCAGACCATATTTAAATATATTAGACCATGCCACACCTAAGACATAATTTTTTATAATTATTTGCTAGTTTGTTTGTGTATGTAGATCTATGTGTTAGAATGTGTTGGAAAAAGTGTGTTAAAAGTGCATTAAATGGTCATTTTGGGCAATTATTTGAGTGGGGTCCACTTCCGATTTGGGTCGGGTCAAAGTGGTTTCGGATTGTCCTTGCTAAGGGTTACAATTCGATATATGGTACACTCAAAACGGATAACGGGTGAATGAGAAATTGTTTTTCGAAGTTTACCCGTTGGAATGGAGAAAACTAGGAAAATGTGAGTTTTAGTGTGGGTTCTTTCCCACACCGAAAATCACAAGGGAATTTGAACCCTTTATAAAGGGAACCCCCTAAGGAGTTAAGATTCCTAAAGGGAACGGCCGTAATGCCCCAAAATCCGGTCTAATTGTTTAAAAATAAAATACACTACGTAATACTAAAGTGGCATAAAAATGGAAAGTGCATACTTATTACCTTAGTCTAACGACACACGTAGTAAAATTTACTGACACTTTTCTTTATTAATTAAATCATAACGAAAATTTGATAAGCTTCAATATACCAAAATTATAGATGAATCAGCGATGAGATAATTAATTATAAATAGAATACGGAGTGTTAGATTCTTCATAAGGCTCTACAGAAAAAAAATGTTCTCCTGGGATTTAATTAATTTCAAGAATTTGACAATTAAACTAAACAAAATAAAATTAAAATGGCAAAGGATGTGAAGACACGTACTCAAATAAACAAATGATATAAATTGAATTATTTGATTGAATAGTTTAATTGAATAGTAAACTTAATTAATTGAGACAAATTGGCATGTTAAAATTAATGGACATCCAAACAAATGAATAGTAAGCCACCTCATGGTATGGGAAAATGGATGATCAACATACAATTTGAGATAAGATAATTATTTGTTTTATGGAATTCCTAGCCACACACATGGAACTCATTTGGCTATAAATAGGAGCTTACCTCCTCTCATTTTTGACACAATCGGGACACTAACTAAAGCCAAGAAACACACCAAATTAAATATAGCTACAAGAAGAAGAATACTAGCAGGAGGCGTTCATATCAATACAATTTTAGAAAAATTTGTCTATAAGGTCAGTACTTCTGACCCAGTTTTTATTTCATGTATATTTTAATATTATTATGGAAGTATAATTTCCGTCCCCGTTTCATATGTTATGGGGATGATGAATATTATTTAGCCTTAGAAATATTTGTATGCTTAAACTATGTGTTCTTAAATTATAAGAGCTTAATTGATAATTACCTTATACTTCGTATGTAAATGAAAATAAAATGAAAACGGAAAAATTTAATTGACGGAACAAGTCTGGCAGTTCGAATCGGAAGATCATAAAATGAACCAAGTATGATGCATGGCTAAGTTATTTGTGAATGGTGTAATTCATGGGTTCCATACTTCCATTATATAAAATATAAAACTGTAAAATTTTAGTCTCAAGGCATTTCATAATTTGTGAAAATAAAGTAATTCATATTATATGTATCCCCATAAACAATTACGTAGTACATGCATGTGTATAAGACCATGTAGCATTTTTCAACGTAACATACTTAATATACAAGTATTAACATGTAGAGGTAGTTAATTAAGTGTTATCGATTTTAGTTAATTTACGTACACACTTATATGACCATTTACTTTAATACTTCGACCGTATTATTTATTTATGTAATTTAGTTTTGAAAGTCACATGCAATAAGTTAAGATTATATATATAATAATATATATAAGTGTACGTATAACTAGTTTCAAGGTGTAGCCTTAAAAAAAATATACAATTAATTTATTTATAAAAATTTGTGGGTTCATGAAAATTAGTGATATATAGTTTTAAGGATAAGAGTAGCTGACTTTACTAAAAAAATGTATACATACGTGTGAAATGTTATAACACGTGTAAAGCTTTTATTTACATGTATTAATTAAGTACTACACATATATTTGGTGAATAATAGAATATATATAAGTAATGATTGCTATCTTTAAATTATACTGGAGCAATAATATCACATATATGTAGAAGAGGTATATTCACATAATACGTATCATTTTAATTTAACATGCATGTATGATTTAACTTATAAATATTTAAGTATAATAATATACATTTCGGTGTATTTTTTGTATTTATAAATAAGTACTATCATGAAAATTAGTCCTGCTCTTGATCCGGCACTCTGACACGAATACTCATGATCTGTATGTTTAGTGTACTACGTACACTTCTGAAATTCTGTTTAGAGGAATTTGTGTTCTCATGATCAGTGTATTTCATACACTCCTGAAATCTTTTTAGAACACTATTACTCTTCTGTTAAGGTTCGAGTCTCTTCGGTGATCTCGTCCTTTCTGTCAGCTAGCTTCTGTTAGGGATTGGTACGTGTAGCTCCGGCGATTACGTTTCCATATCCTTTCTGGGTAATGTGGGTATGGACTTTGTGACTATATTCCTTACCGTTAGTATTCCGCTGTCTAGGTCCAGTTTCTTGAGTACAGGCTGAAATGAATTTATTTTATTAATGATATAACTCCGAATAAGAATGATTTGATAATTATGATATCTGAATATATTTCTAATCTGTATATAAATATATTGATTCTTATAACAGTTATTCGGATCACTCAGGTACGTTATATGTCTGTTGACTAAATGTTAATTATGTTATGTTGCTATGTGATTTGATAAGTACTTATTATCATTACTAATGTTATTGTGATTAGTATTATTTGTACCGTACCACTCAGCACATTGCTGAGCGGGTAGTTGTTTGTTTTTCCTACTCGTAGGTTGACGTGGACTGAGCTAAGATAAGGATGCTGGGATGGAAGGTGGCATAGGATTCATGTGCATACCATGTGTGTGTTGTTGAAAATAAATAAAAATAAAGCAAGTTTGACTTTAATCTTATCTGATCATTTTCGTTTTGTAAACGCTTCCGCATATGATAAAATATTTTGTGATGTATAATATTAAGTGATTCATGATGACTTGATATTTTTCAGGTATTGAATAATAAATTGACGTTTTAATAAATATGTTTTATTTAATACTTAATTTTAGTTAAATAATTAAAAGTCTTTCGGTAAAATCTGTTTTGATTTTTACCACGTGACACATTGCTCGGATCGGCGGGCCGGTTCGGGTAGGGTATTACAACGGCTCTCTCACGCGCGCAGGGGGGTGTGCGAATCAAATCCCGAAACCGAAGAACAAAAACCGCGACTTGCGTGTGCGAGCGACCTGCACACACGAATGCCGTCCGAAAACGTATCTTCTAAAGATAGCGTTAATTTTTGTTCTTCCGGTACGTTCCTACTTTAATTTTTGCTCCATGCTCATAAATGCCCAACGTTTAGGACATTGATGTCCAACGATCATAACCCTTAAACAGCCTTTAACACACCTTAATCCACCCCTATAAAAGGCTAGTAGGTGCTTTGCAAAGAGACAACTTTTCATACACTTCGTTCACGTATTTTCATAGCTAAAACAGCACCTCTAGCACCCCATACAAACTCCTTCGGTGTTCTGCTTTTGTTCACGTTCGTTGGAACTTTAGTTTGAGTGCTAAACTATTGTTCGAAGTCATCGTATCCTGGGAAACGATCGTTGCAACGCTCCTAGCACCCCGGGAGGCAACGAATACGTTTTAAGGAAATCGTGCGTAGCACGAGCTTTGGCTTATTCTGCTTCATCTCATTTCTTGTTTTTCTTTAAGTCATTTTATTTAATTAATCTTTATTAATTAATTTTCTTTGTTTTTCGAAGCACACCCAAAAGAATGTTGGATCAGTTTATAAAAAAAGATTGTTGTGTAATAAACAAGACCAAAAGACGGCCAAATTCATTCACATATAGCACATATATACAAGGGAGAATGAGATTAGGGATACAAAATAATGGGTCGGATCCTAATAATACATATGACCGGAGAGACATATGGGTGAGATCGTAATAACACTCATATGTTAACTTCTTCTATTTCAGGTCATACAGAGAATGGTACAATCGAGGAGGAAAACATGGAAGGATTTACACAAGTCAAAAGAAGAAGTAAAAACAATATCTCCAAAATCTCTCCTAACAAAGCAATTCAACAATACTACCAGATCAGATACTCATATCATCCTATGATTACCAGAAGGTACTCAAAAAAACCTCAAAACGAAATGGACTACTTTCTCCACCCAGTGGACGAGAGGTTTGATTCTCCGCATAAACTAGCCGCAACTCTCCAGCAATTCAAAGTAACTCATCCGGAAGAAACAATATTCAGGCCTTATCTCCGGAAAGCCATCAAATTTCACAACAGATTTAACAAATCCATTTTTGCTTCTGTTGGAATTCCCTCAAAAAAATTAATTGTTGATGTAATTTTATTTTTATTCCTACTATTTATCTTGTTCTTCCTATTTCACATTTTTAATCTGAACTCTATTGTACTCATAATCTTATTTTAATAAATTAGGGAGGTGTTCCCCGGCACCCCCCCCCCCCCCCACCTAGTGTGGTTTGATCCGGAAGAAAAAACATATGACCGGAGAGACTAGTGGACATCCACATATATATCACATAACACCCCCTTGGATATACACTACTTAAAATAGAGAAAAGGGTCAAATAAGGCCTTCTACTATTATGAAATAGTCACATAAGGTCATGTACTCAATAAAGTGTCATATAAGTACATCTACTTGTATAAAGCGATCAAATGAGTCCTAACGGCTTATTTTACACCTCCTAATCCCGATTTTAGATTACATGTCGGTTTTTTGACTTGTATTTCAACCAATCTTAGTTAAATATTCGACATATGCCGTATAATATATTCTAAAAAGATGGTCAAAAGTACGTTGAAACCGAGATTAAGAGGTGTTAAATAGGTCATTAGGACTCATTTGATTGATTTTTACAAGAAGATGTACTTATATGACACTTTATTGAGTCACTAGTGGAAAAATAGCAATTAGAGGCGCTTGAAATTGGTGATGCGAGGCGCTTCGAAGCGCCTCTAATTTATGCGCCGCAATTTGCATTTAGAGGCGCTTCCTATACCAGAAGCGCCTCAGACCCTATTAAATAATTATTATTTATACCAAGCGTGCGGCGCTTGTATAACCAAAAGCGCCTCCAATTTGAAAAAAAATTGAGGCACTTTTATCTTAGAAGCGCCTTCAATTTCAACTTTTTTAAGCACATCGAGCACTTTTTTCCTTAGAAGTGCCTCCGATTTGGAATTAATTTAAAAAAAAAATTGCGTTTAAAATTGCATGTTTTAAATTAAAAATAAAACATTCAACTACAAAATTGTGACACACACAACCGAAATGATTATTAAAACAATCATTGAACGGAACAAAACTAGTAAAAAATGTTAAATCTCAATAGTACTTGAAATACAATTAAATCAACTAAAGTTTACACATTTATTACTACATCTAAGTGTTAAATCTTACTAGTGAGAAATAGCAACTTTGCTTATCACTTCCCACATAAGAAGGCTGGAGGGTTGCTATTTCTCACTACAGCAGCTGCAAAAAATGATCGGTTATAGTTCTTGATATAAGCAAAAAACAAACAAGGAGACCCTGACATTTTGCAAAATGAAGCTGGTTTGCATCATCAACCAAGTCAACAAATAAGTTAATTCGGAGTATTTGGTTCTACAAACTAGGTCATACGGTCGATGAGGACAAATAAAAGAACACAATATGGTTAGTTATATTTCATGTTGCAGCAACAAAAACAGAAAAGGAGCCCTTAACCATTGAACAAGATGAAGCGGGTTTTACCATTCCAAGGCCATAAAGCCAAGGTGAGAAACAGTGTGCGCCGTAAACAAATGCTCCTGAAAAGTAAAATACAGCTTAATCACCACATTCAAATGCCATTTATATCAAGTCTCATAACTTCTTTAATATCTAAATCTTAGTCTTAATATCTCATAGAAATTAAAGTTTATACCTTTCCAAGAGGTCCACTATAAGCTTTTCTCGACTACATACTAGATCTGTCAAGCAGGGTATTTCTAGCATTTTCGGAAGCATTTTTCAAAGGATGGGGATGCCTTAGGATTTATTATCTTTCGTCCCTCGGACAACTCTTAGCAGTCAGCACACGAAACCGATGGACAAGCTTCTGATGCCTTAACAAAATCATCAATCCTTCTAATATATGCCATAAAAAGAATATATAAGGAAATATGCTAACCTAGATAATACGAAGTATACCGCAGGGAAGGTGAGGTAGCCGGTGTCGGAAGATATAGTGGCGGCACCTCAGGGGCAGCATCGTGGCATGGGAATCGAGATCTTCAAACTTCGAGCAACGAGGGTTTCAAGCGACATAGATGGGTGATGGAGATTCTGCGTTGGGGTGAATAATCGAAGCGGCAGCGGCAAGTACACGCACTCATCTGTGGCAGCGAGAACCACGCAGTCACCAAGAGGAGGCGGCGAGAACCACGCAGTCACCAAGAGGAGGCGGCGAGAACCAAGCAATCAGCGGAGCGGCTCGTGCTGTGGCCGAGCTTGATTGGGTCTCTGTTTACTTGGTGTTGCTTCGATCGGTTTTTGCAGACCTAATTGTGTGAAAATAATAAATAATTGTGTGAAAATAATAAACAGGCTTAACCAGTCTGGTAGCCCTGACTGTATATATATAATGAAATAAGTTTCCAAATACAATTAGGATACTGCCTAATAATAAATAACAATTAATACTACACTATTACACCCCCTCAATCTATGAAGGAGGAACTATTCGTAGATTATCTCGAAGAAATAAAAATTGTCGAGGAGCCAAACTTTTGGTGAAAATATAAGCTAACTGAAACTTTGTGGGAACATACTGCACCAAAAGATCACCATGAGCCACACGTTCTCGAACAAAATGATAATCAATATCAATATGCTTACTGCGAGCATGCTGAATAGGATTAGCTGATAAATATGATGCAGAAATATTATCACACAAAAGTCGAACTGGTTGATGCAGAGGAAATCCAAGCTCAAAGAGAATAGACCGAATATGTAAGGTATCTTGCACTGTATATGCAATAACGCGATACTCAGCTTCAGTAGAGGATCTCGAGACAGTGGGTTGCTTCTTGGAGCGCCAAGAGATCAAACTAGGACCCAGAAAAACAGCATAGCCAGAGGTGGAGCGGCTACTATCAGGACAACCAGCCCAATCAGCATCAGAGTACGCAAGAATAGAGAGTGGGCGTTATGCCTGCTGAAGATGAAGTCCATGCGTGAGAGTGCCTATGAGGTACCTGAAAAAATCTTTTTACACCCAACATATGTGAAGTACGAGGAGCATGCATAAATTGAGACACCAAATGAACAACATATGTAATATCAGGTCTAGTCATAGTCAAATACTGCAATGCACCTACCATGCTACGGTACTATGTGGGATCAACAATTAACTCACCATCACTGAGGGACAACTTAGTTCTATTAGCTAGTGGCGTGCGGACATATTTAAGGGTATGAAGATGAAAACGAGTTAAGAGATCCGACACATATTTGGCTTGAGATAGAAATAAACCAGTGGAATTTCGCACAGCCTGAACCCCCAAGAAAAAGTGAAGATTACCAAGATCTTTCATAGCAAAATATTTCCCCAAAACTGAAATAAACTGACTGATAAGAGACGAGGAATTCCCAGTAACAATGATATCATCCACATAGAGAAGCAAATAAATAATATGTTTGCCATGACGAAATATGAAAAGAGAATTATCTGCTCGACTACAAACAAAACCATGAGTCAAGAGAAAGCTACCGAAACGATAAAACCGTGCCCGGGGAGCTTATTTAAGACCATAAATGGCCTTGCGCAAGCGACAAATATGATTAGGAAACTGTGGATGAATAAACCCGGTGGTTGATGCATGCAAACCTCTTCAGTCAGATTACCATGTAAGGATGCATTTTTAACACCCAACTGATGAATAGGCCAATTAAAGGAAACAACTATAGTAAGAACAATGCGAACAGTGTTGGGTTTAACAACAGGACTAAATGTTTCAGAAAAGTCAACTCCAGCCTGCTGCTTAAACCCCTGAGCAACCAGACGTGCTTTATGTCGTTCAATAGATCCATGCGATCGATATTTAGTTTTATAAATCCATTTAGACCCAACCACATTTTTACTAGAATCAAACGGTGTTTGTTCCTGTTTATATGACTACAGCAATATGTATGGAGATAATCAAAGATAGAGTAGCAGAAAGATATACGCTGGAGATCCTTATACTCGTCTTTGATATACCGTGAACTTTACAGCACAAGAATGAGCGCTAAGGCTAATAAGATCAAATGCAAAGTTGACGCAAACCTAACCCTTATGCGCCTTTTTATATGCACAGGTTAAGGTTTGCATAAAGGCTTTCAGCCTGATATATGAGTCTGACACTTTGGCCCTATATCCTTTACTACTCTCATAAATACAACAATAAATACATAAAGGAGCAATAAAGGCTATATTAATACAAGACTCTTGACAAACTTGATACACAATAAATTATTCTTCAACAATCTCCCCCTTTGTGATCAAGTGTTGTCTTGCTTTTATTTCTGAGCTTTGAAGTAGTGTTTTCTTATGTTCATCGCATGCTCATACTGTCTCAGTGCTCTTCTCTTATCAAGTTGTTTGATGACGGGCTGCAGGATTGTTTCCGGTCTGTCAAAAGTTTCCAACTCTTCATCAGTAGCATCAGAAAGTCTTTGCTCAAGATCTTCTTTGAGAGGTAGCAGCTTCTGTTGAATGACTTTTAAAGTCCCATCGCAATATTTGTGAATGTCCTCTACCCACATCAGGCGCTTTTGCTCTTTATGGTTGAGATATAAGATTGAGAGGGGATCCTTAAAGATGCGGTAAGGTTGATATTCCTCAAGCTCTGAGCCATATAGAATCGGCCTTGTGAGATTTGCCTTCCGAACATGGTTCTCAAGCACCATTTGCAGATCATGAGTGCAGTGGAATCTGACTTGTCTTAGCATAAATCTTTTGATTGCATCAAAGTCTTCCTTGTAGATTCTGTTGCGATTTATTGGAAGGTATCTGCAGGCCATGAACATGTGATAGATGTCATCCATTTTCATCATGATGAAGTCGTTCTCTTGGCAGGTGAATTCGCTTGAGTCTGTGCCTGCATTTTGTAGCTGAAGAATTGTATCCCGTGGTGATCTTCTTCATGTATATCGAGAATACTGTAAATCGGATGTATGCTACTTTTTAAGTCCTTTTCAAGGATCTCTCTTTGTTTTCCAGAAGATCTATGGTGCAGCATATGCAGATGTCCACCCACAAATTTCCCTTTCAAGTGGGTAAGTCCACGGATCTTTAGCTCATCAAGGGCCTTGAGTTTCCCTGGTTGTCTCCAGATTCCCTTTCTGATTTCCTCTTGGAATGGGGCATTGATTCGTACGTTCTCCCAGGGCTTCTCCTTTGTTGGCATTTGACCCGCTGATTG